GTACATGTTATGACTGTGATATAGCAAATGGTAAATGTACAAATGGATGTTATCCAGGGTGGAAAGGGGAATACTGTCATGAAGGTACACTTATCCATATACATCATAATATATACACTAGGCTACCTTATAAAAAAATTTAAACACATATCTTCACAAATATTTCTTAGAAATTATTTAAATGTGGTTGCATCTTACAGTTTGTGAAAATGGAACATTTGGAAAAAATTGTCTAAAAACTTGTAACAGTACGTGTTATGGCTGTAACAGAACAAATGGTAAATGTGAAACTGGGTGTCATCCAGGGTGGAGGGGAAAGTATTGTCATAAAGGTAAATATCTGATTGAAAGGAAGCTAAATTTGATAAAAACTTCGTGACAGTCTGTATACTGAGGGCTTTCACATGAGGAATGCATTTGCAAAGATTGGATTTTGTATTTCTTTATGTTACGAAATCGCAGACAGTATTAACAGAGCAGTGTTTTTAAAGTAATTTAGAATTTATTATTTTATATTTACATCTGCACAAACTTCTTAATATTACACATGTCAATATAAGCAAGGTTCATTGAATTCTTTGTAAAAACATATTCATCACGGTGGCCTTACTTTAGCCCTTGATGCTACTTCTCAATGAATCATGTGTGGAAGAAGAGTTAAGCACATTCAATTTACGTCGTTGAAGTTTGAAAAAAAAATCATTTGATGGGTATAGAACTATTACAAATTGAGATTATTAAATCAATCTGTTGTGTTTATATAATTATAATATATTATTTTAAAACTTTTTACAGGAATGTTTGTAGGGATTGATATGTGATCAAGTCAACAAAAATGCTCTCTGGCTCATATTAATTGGATCTGATCACATCACCAATCCGTAGTACATGTACCTCCCGATACAAGTTTTAAAATTATCTTCTTGTGGTCCATTTTGAAATATATTTTTAAAGTTATCAACACTATTTATTAATCCAAAAAGAACAATTTTTCATCTGTTTTAAATCGACAGTAAGATTTAATTTACTTTATAGAATGTGACGGAGGACAATATGGAATTAATTGTAAAATGCAGTGCGGAAACTGTTTGGATTCGGCGCAATGCAACCCGATTAATGGAACATGCAAAAATGGTTGTGATGAGGGTTTTGAAGGGTTTCTATGCAACGAAGGTAAGGAAATTAGTGGTTGTAAACTACTATAAAGATTTATATTCCCTTTTACAATTTTTTTTTCAACTTTTATGTGACCAATTGATATGAAGCATTTTTTATTAAGCATGCACATACGGAACATTCGGACGCAACTGTCTGGAAACGTGTAACAGAACGTGTTTTGGATGTAATGGAACAAATGGAAAATGTGAAACCGGATGTTATCCGGGGTGGAAGGGGGATTACTGTCATGGAAGTAAGTGCAGTCATATAAGTATTCGAAATAATAGATTACATTTTAATGTAGTAAAATATGTCTATTGTACGGTCATAAAGAATTAACATTTATTGCGTTTTTTGCTTCCCATTGGGTTACTTATATTCTGATGCCGGAGGATAAAACGCAAATTGCTAATGAAGAAGCAAAATTGCCTCTCTATTGAACTCTGTAATAAACATGTTTTAAGAAAAGCTTTTTTTAAGAACATGTAAATGATATTATTCTTTTGGAATTGATCATTAATAAGTAAAAATAAATGTCTCAAAATTAAACATAAAAAAAAAAATAAAAAATGAATTTAGCAGGTATTTCAAAAGAGGATGATAATGAACATGTACATGTATTTACTTGCATACCGTAGGAAAAACTTATACCAGAACTAAATGTATAATATTGAGTGATTAAAGACAAAATGCATGCATAGGTTAATTGTATAGCATAACACAACATTACTTTTTCATTATATTTACACTGATTCATTTTGACATTTTTTTTAAAGAATGCGATGGTGGATTTTATGGAATGAACTGCAATTTGTTCTGTGGAAACTGTTTTAATTCGAAACAATGTAACCCGATCAATGGCACTTGCATGCATGGTTGTGACGCAGGTTATGACGGAATTTTATGTAATGAATGTAAGAAAACATTTATTTAAAAAAATCTTATTAGTTAATGACTACTTTTATCAGAACATTAATATTTTTCTTGACATATTTAAGAAAAGAGTTGAAGAAAATGGTTCTATTCTATCATTACATAGCTTGTGAAAATGGGACGTTTGGACGCAACTGTCTTGAGACATGTAACAGTACTTGTTACGGGTGTAATGCAACAAATGGAATATGTGACACAGGATGCTTTCCAGGTTGGGAAGGCGAATATTGTCATCAAGGTATACATTGCCAATAAAGATTGTCTTTTAGATATGAGAATGTATTCGTTGTAAAGGAATCTACAGGGTCGTGCCAAAAATATTAGCTGAAAATGGCGGATGTCAATTTAGAGGTATCTCTCTTAGCATAATTAACTTACTGTTGATAACACTATCGGAAAATACACACGCCTTTAGTACTTTATGTGTCCCATGAACCAAATGCAGACAATAATTCTTCGTGGTGGGGACTTGTAAAGGTTTTCAATGTAATCTACCGAGAGATTCTGCCAAAAATAGATAATAACTTGAAACAGCTGATTGTCGCCTGCTTGGCGCAGTGGTTAGAGTGTCTGCTCTAGAGTCGTGAAGTAAAGAGTGTAGTCCTAACGTCGCAGGTTCGAATCTCACTGTGAACGTGGAGACCGGTTCTTTGGGTGAGACCATATAAACCGAGGTCCCGTGTCGCAATAGGTGCTTGCACGTTAAAGATCCCTCCCTGCTCAATGGCCCTGAGTGCCGAGTTTAGGTCAAAGTTTGTTGCTCTCCACCGGTAAATGGTGGCGTCCCAATATGAGTGAAAAATTATCGAGATGGACGTAAAACAAGATACAATCAGTCAATAAATGAAATAGCTTATCTAGGTTAAATATTTCACTTGCCTGATTTTGTAAATTTGTCTTCACCAGATGTCAACAATTTTCGATAATATAAAGGTCTGGTGATTGGCCTTGTTAAAGCATTCCACGGATGATGTTTTCATGTTTATATCTCTCTACGATACGGACCCGATGCACAGGGGGGGGGGGGGGCATTGTCATCTTGGAATTTGTAGTAATTGTCTGTAAAATGACAGGCCAAGTTTGTTCATCTAATATTAAAAAGTATTTTTGTGATATAAACTGTTATTTAGAAGAATATTACAAAGGGTTTAATAGTTTTCTGTTAGATATTTTGATTAATTCTTGATAAACTCTCTTAGTCACCATATTATTCAAATGTGCATACTTGAAAAGGTAGGGGGAAGGGTAGGGTGTAAGCTAATAAACTCGTGCCAGGATGAATTTAAACCCCATAATGTAGTATGATTTTTTTTCAGATATTCAAGATACCTATTGACTAACTACATGTATAAAATGCAATAAAAATATATTTGATGGGTTATTTTTCTCACAGTGGAAGCAGAAATGTAAGACTTTGTGCAACAAATATTGGCAAATATTTTGGTGCATGTAATTCTGTTTTTCGCTTACAATGCTTGATAAATATCAGATTGATGTCAAATATTAATTCATAGAGACAGATGTTTGAATTCATGTAAAACACATGATAATTGATATAACAATAAAAAAAATTACAGTCCTTTTCATATCATACTCTTATTGGCAGTTTTTGTTGATAATCTATCAATCTCTACCTTAGATTTGATAAGGTGATTTAGAAATTTATACATGTATTCATGCACCAATCAACAATCCTTGGCTGATTCCACCACGTGCGCTCTATGCAATCCTCGATGTGATTGATGGATGAATGTGTATCAAATCGTCGCTTTCCTTCGCAAAAACATTTCATGACTCAAATAATAAGTTCACAAAACATATTAAACTTCTCGAATTATTTCTTGAGTATTTGTTTTGGTAACCACTTTATATATATATTATCAGTTTTTTGGCATGACACAATGTAATTCGAATCAAAAAATTATGGAAGTTGGACAAATGTCGTCGACTTTTATTTTTTTTTAATTATTACTTAGTTTACGTACGTGTATTAGGTAAGCATGAAAGACTCGAGCTACCCATAGAGCTCCGAGTGTTTATACATGTACACACAATATTTAAGTAAAAACGTACTACTCTTTAAACGAGAGATAAAATGTTATTTTAAAAACAAATAAAGAATAAGGTATTATTTCAGCATGTAAGGATGGATTCTTTGGAGAAAATTGTGTCAACAAGTGTAATGAAACATGTAAAGGATGTAATAGGACAACCGGTATTTGTGAAAATGGATGCTATCCTGGCTGGCAAGGAGAATTTTGTGACGAAGGTATCTAATTTTACAAAAATAACATACTGGTAATTTTACCTCCTTACTACGTCATCTTTATTTAATCCTCAACAGCTGTGTACATTGTAATTATTATTTTTTGAAGCAACATATTTTACATTGATTTTTTATTTCCTTTTAAGAATGCAACAAAGGATTCTACGGAAATGATTGCAGCATGGTTTGTGGAAACTGTTTAAACTCGGAACAATGTCAACCAAAGAATGGAGCATGTATAAATGGCTGTGATTCAGGCTATGAAGGAGCATTTTGTAATAAATGTAACGCACGAATTTATGACAATTGATATTTCATTTAATTTTTAAAAAAATCATTAAAGTAATACAAATTTAATGCAAGGTATTTTAGGTTATTATTCAAAATTCTACAAAAGTGTGATTCTAAGAGGTATAAAAAATTGAATAATTGGTATACATGTATTGACTTTTTAACAACATTTTGAAATAGGATTTAATATTTACAAGGAAAAGAAACTCTAAACATTTATACCTAGCCATACAAGACTTTTTTTGTATCATATTTCCGTATTTATCTACTGTATCGTTTCTGATGGATTCATTTTAAACAATGTTAGATGATATTCAATGTTGTTTGCTATTATATTCCCCAAAGCATGCACATTTGGAACTTTTGGACATAACTGCCATGTTAAATGCAACGAGACTTGCTATGGATGTAACACAACTAATGGTAAATGTGAATCTGGTTGTCATCCAGGATGGAAAGGAGACTACTGCCATGAAGGTGAAGCATTGTAACGTTGGTATTAAAAAAAGAACTGCGCTTTGAATTTCATTTTTTTTTCCTAAGATCTATTTCCAAATATGTATAAAACAAAGAGGAATGTTTATAGTGTAATTTAATGTAAAAAAAAGGTCTTATGATTTATTAAATTTTATGTATATTCTCATTCGAGAATTTTTTACTCGTATATAGACGTCACCATATTCAAACCTAGACCTATACTTTGCACTTAGAGCCATTGAGCATTGATGGTTCTTTAATATCTTTATCTACATCGACAAATGAACCCACGTTTTTAAATTCATATCTTAAAGACAGATGGCTTTTATTCATTATGCCGAGCGCTTGCCGAAGGAGCAGTTACAAACCATGTTTACGTCTTAAGTATAACGCGGTACGTAAAACGAGAATCGATCCCAGGCCTCCCTTTCACGAAGCAAACGCTTTACCACTAGGCCAACTTGACCTGTGAATTTTAAATCTCTTCTCATCGTACCCTTACAATGCAAAAAATTGACCTAATATTCATTATGGGATTGCTTTGTGAAATTTGGCATTTTTTTTTATTATATCCTCTATATATTGTATATAGAGAATAACACATACCCTTTTCCATATCACATCATGTATCAGCTCGAGACACCAATATCAACCCTCTGGCTGATATTGGTGTCTCGGGCTGATACAAGATGTGATGTGGAAAAGGGTATGCATTAATATGTTTAATACATACTTAGTAATAAAATACAGCATACATTAAGTTGAGAAGAAAATGAATAAATAGTCATGCATGAACTTCTTACAGTCATGTACATAGTTCATTTTCTAATACGGTTTGAGTTTGTTTCTACTTTTATTTCAATGCACTCGATCCGTTATTTCAAAATAATCTATTACATGTATTTGTAAATTAAGTTTAACTTTATTTTCAAAAAGTCAAAATAAAGTGAAAATGTACCCACCAAAAATTGTGTATGATCACAAGTACTGTTTTGTGGTTTAATTTACTAAGGGTGTGATATTGATCCATATCGCATATGCAAAAAAACTGTATTTATTACTGATTGTGTAATAAATTGAGATATTGTTTGAAACATCCATATACATGTATGTCAATATTTCAGAGTGCATTGATGGATTCTTTGGCAAGAATTGTAGCTTGACATGTGGGCATTGTAAAGGAATGGAGGATTGTCACCCGATAAATGGAAAATGCCTGAATGGATGCATTGCAGGATATAAAGGAGATACCTGCAATAATAGTATGATACTAATATTTTAATTATTGATGAAGCCTTACTGAGTTGTGATGATAAAAATAAGAAAAAAGAGCCATTAAAGTGTATGAAATCTTTAATCATATAATTTATCTAAAAAATATCTCAAAATGAAAGCATGCAGTGATGGATACTTTGGAGAAGACTGTGTCCAAAAGTGCAGCAATGCTTGTAAAGGATGTAACAGACTAAATGGGAATTGTGAAAATGGTTGTCATCCAGGTTGGCAAGGACAACTCTGTTTAGAAGGTAAGGAAAATAACCAAAAAAATAATAACTCAGCTCATACATATAATTAGCTCATTTTTATATCAACTATATCATTGTATTATCTTATTAGTAATAAGACAACTGTACAAGAGTGCATTTTATCAATATTTTGTTAATCATCAGAGTGTTTGAATAACTTTTACGGAGAAGGATGTAATGTGAGTTGTGGTCACTGCTTGAACGGGAAACAATGTCACCATATCAACGGTTCGTGTCAGAGTAAATGTGAACCTGGATACAGTGGGGATAAATGTGATGAAGGTACATGTATACTGATTCATATGTTTCAACATTCTAGGACAAACCTATTTTCTGCATATTGTAAACCAAATGCCATATTTTTATATGACACTTCATTTACTCCTAAATTAATTATGTTCAAATTAAACATGCCCACTGAAGCAATGAACTTTTTTCGAAACCGTTTCATTTTATTTGATAATTTCTCATGGATTTGTTAGTCTGCATGCTTGGATATTTTGGTACAAACTGTGAACAAGAGTGTAGTCTCTATTGCAAAAAATCACGTGATTGCCATCATGCTTCGGGAATTTGTCGAGGCGGCTGTAAAAAGGGGTGGCACGGAAAGGATTGTATGCAAGGTATGTAACGTAATCAGTAAATTCCTGTTATAAACTCGTAATAAATCTGGCTTAAATCTAGAATTTACTAAGAACCCAGTTTCTTTAAAGATATGAAGGATGACCAAATAAAGAGTAAAGTGGAAAATCTCACTACACAAGTGTATTCTGCTTTCGGTGCGTCCTGTGTTTTATTTTTCCTTATCGGACTGTTTGCAGTATACAAAATAGTAAAAAGGTTCGTTTGTTTTTTATATTACTTTGACAATGGTTTGACAATTTCATTCAAATATCATTCTCATCTGTATATCTAATATAATTTGCAGGTTTAAAGGAATCATTTGCAGAAAGAGTAATTTCTCAAGTACTTCCTCTTTTCGTGAAAAGGGTGCTAAAACCACTTCAATATCTATGGTTGAATATGAAAATAATTTTAAGGACGAATATCAAGAACTTGGAGATTTCTGTTCGCCTTCTAACTACGACATGCTTAAATAATATTCTCAAACATTTTGCAACATGTATACTATGGATTTTTTTATCCTTATGTATCCGTATGTTTTATTACACAGTCTTTATATATGGGTGTACTGTAACGTTAATGTTCTGTAAAGATATATTTTGTTTATTGTAATTAAGGAAATATTAATATTATAAGTATGATTGATTGTTTGTTTGTTGATGTACGTCCCTCTCAGAATGTTCACTTGTACTATTGTGGTACGTAAAGAACTTCGACGTTTTGAATACAAGTTTCGTCAAAGATATCAATTATTTACATATTCATAATTCTTTAGTACGTATATGTGAAAAACAAAATGTAGAAAAAGGATTCAATGTCAAATGTATGATTACATTATTGACTTTATCATAAGAATTCAGGAAAGTTTCATAACGACGTCATTTATCACTTGGTTCATTTATTTTGTACTTTGTTAAATTAAGTGAAAAATGTGGAAAAAAGGAAAAGAAGTCTTAGTAAATACTATTTATTTTTATGTTTCACAATGTTTGTCAGTAATTTTCAATGATATCAAAAAAAAAAAAAACAAGTTTTTTTTCTGATTTTTAAAAAAAAATTATGACTCACTTCATCATGAAAACCAAAGTTTTGATGAAATATTAATATTTACATATAAACATGTACTAATCTCATTTAAAAAAAAATAGATCCACATGTCTTTTCTAAGGAACCCAATGTAGAAGGAAACGGCCAAACTGGGCTTTTTCAAAGCGTTATTACAATTTTACAGAAGGACATGGCAAGTCTAATAATAATCCTTCAAAATATTTTTAACTCTGGTCAATTTTTGTAATGCATTGGTTGGATAAATGTATTTTTTTTAAAGTTCCTTTCTGATGGAAATCATTTACTTCAGAAGTTCACTACTTTACTCTCATACACATTTAGTTAATTTGTAAATAAATAATAGGTAATAAAAACCTGTGTAATTCAAAATAATTTTAGTATTTAAACACATATCCAAGTATGAATGCGTTTTTGCAGTCGCGTATTTTTGAAACGAAATATATTGTACATTTCTATTTAGACACATTGATCTGTTAAATTAAATCTCTTCTTCCAATATTACCTATTAATCTCTAGATAAGAGGTCAATCTCAGAATTTTAAGATGTGTCATTAATTTTTTTTTGTACATTTTACGTTTTAATTTTTTAATTATTCACAATAATCGCCTGCTTAACCTTTTTTTGTATTAAATTATAGACTTTAATCCATATAACTAACACGAAAACTTCGCGTTCTGTAAAAGGAAAAACTTGAATCACAATATAATTACAGACAGAGGAAGCGGAGCCTATTGATTCTTTTGAATTTGAAAGTTTTTAGAGGTGTCAGAAATGATTCCACATGGATAATTAGCTTCTGGAAACCATTGGAATTCGAAAGGATTTATATAACTGGGAAATACTTCGTATCATTCGATCATCCGATTTCAAACTGGTCTTGGAGACAATTCTCATAACTTCGTCTCTATATTCTTGGCGTGAGCAGTGTATATAACTAATTTTATTATACAATTTTATTATTTAAGAAATGTTGTTAGCTGGTTTAATGCTACATTTGCTCTCTGATTCAATGCTAGTTATATATGTAGGACTCCAAAGTCCGATGGTGACGCCAAATCCCGATGGCTCATTGTCTTTACAGAAGCCAAAGTCTGTTTGTCACGCCAAAGTCCGTTGGCTCTTTGCCTATGAGACGCGCGATGCTAAATTGCGATGCTATGACATGCAAAAGACCGATGGTGTGGAGAAACAATTTACGTTTATGATGAAACAATTGTCCAACGTCATGACGTTATTCTGCATTTAAAATCCAGTGATTCAGTATTCGTCTCACATTCATTTTTACCGAATTTATTTGTTTTCATCCACAAGAGGTAGTAGGGTTAATCCTCCTACACCTTTCGAGTGATAAGGGTTAGTCTTTGAAAATTAATTTGTTTCTTTGAACCCGGCCGAGAGATTTTAGGGTTAGTCCTCGCACACTATTGGACTGATTTAGATTAGTCCCGCAGCCATCTATGATATTTAGGTTACAGTTGGTATTCTTTGTTCGACTGATGTCTTAGTTTCGCAGCTACATCCGAAACAAGAGGGCTAGTCTTTGTATTCATTATATTTTGTATTCATTTATTGGCTTGGCGTGGTTTCTCATTTATACGCAGTAGTACTATGACTTCATAAACTTTAATTGCTTTCTGTGCCATCGGACTTTGGCGCGTCAAACCATTGGTGTTTGACGCAGATACACCAACGGACTTTGGCGTGACTATCGGACTTTGGATTCCCATTGCACTTTGGAATCCTACAGCTATATCCTTTTTCTGTTGAACCTTTTGCTGTTTACAATAAAGCAATGCTACAGGTATTAGCATTATGCTACTGGATGTAGACAATTGAATTTCAACTTTGCCGATTTAAGCAAGAGATTTTATCCAATTGATTATGCCGATCTGAACTACGTAATGCTCGTTTTAATATACTGATCCTGAATTTTATCGAATATTGATACTTATTATGACGATGCTGATGCTGATTTGTGAAAAAGAAAATTGGGTCGACCTTTTGAATCTGAGGGAACAAAGAGTTCTGTTGGGGTGGGAAAGGGGCTGTCAATGTTTGCCATATCAAATTATTTATTTTTCATTTCAATGTCGGGGCTTGGAGGACATTTCATTTCTGTATATTTAGATAACGGACATTTTCGTCATTGCTATAGTCCAAAATTCTAATTTGGGAGAGGCGGAGATAAGCTCTGGTCAAGGAACGGATTACCTAATTTCTTTTTCCAACCGATGAAAAAAAGGTTAACTTCTAACATTTTCGAGCCCAGATTATTCTTTAACCTCATCCCCTCTCTTCAGAATCAAATGGTCACCTACTTAATTCCCTGAAGTGATAGAAATAAAAAGTCTTTTTTATGTTTCATGAAGTATAAAAATTGTTTGAATTACAAATTTAAATTATAAGACAGAAGTCCATATACATGATCATGATATAGATAAAAGTTATTGTTAGTATTAAAATTGTTCAAATTCTTAGCCTTGATAAAAAATCAAATAAGAATGATGCTTTAACAGTTTGACATTATTTTATTTATACATTTAGATATTTTTGACACAGATACGTCAATTAGATAAAGATTTATTGGGTTCTCCATAAACTTATATCCTAAGTCTTGACCTGGAAAAAGTATAAGGAAGATTCCTATAAGAGTTTTATTTAATTACATGTATTTCCTTGTTACTTATATTTAATATTATGTGTCTTCTCTGTGAAATAAAAATAGCCCCGCTAAAATCTTGAACAAGAGGCTTAGGGGCCATAGCGCTCACCTGAGCACATTACGCTTGAATTTACCCCCCCCCCCCCCGGCAATCATCATTTGAACAAACTAGAATCTACACTACCTGAGGATGATTCCATATAAATATCACATATCATAGCTTTGAAGTACGTGAAAAGAAGATTTTAAAAGGTTTCCCTATATATTCCTATGTAAAACTTGGGTCGGCCATTTTGGCCCCACCCTAGCCTTGGGGGGTCATGACTTGAATCTACACTACCAGAGGATGAATCCACATGAGTTTTATCTTTCCTGATCCAGTGGTTCTGGAGAAGAAGATTTTAAAAGATTTTTCCAATATATTCCTATGTAAAACTTGGGTCGGCCATTTTAGCCCCACCCTAGCCCCGGGGATCCTGATTTGAACAAACTTGAATCTACACTACCTGAGGATGATTCCTCATGAGTTCCATCTTTCCTGGTCCAGTGGTTCTGGAGAAGAAGATTTTTAAAGATTTTTCCAATATAATCCTATGTAAAATTTGGGTCGGCCATTTTGGCCCCACCCTAGCCCCGGGGGTCATGATTTGAACAAATTTGAATCTACGCAACCTGATGATGATTCCACATGAGTTCCATCTTTCCTTGCCCAATGGTTCTTAAGAAGAAGATTATTTTTAAAATGCCATGAATTTTTCTCTAATTCATAATTATCTCCCCTTGGAATAGGGTGTGGCCCTTTATTTGAACAAACTTGAACCCCCTTCACCCAAGGATACTTTGTGCCAAGTTTGATTGAAATTGGCCCAGTGGTTCTTTAGAAGAAGTCGAAAATGTGAAAAGTTTTCAGACAGACGGACAGATAGACAGACAGACAGACAAACAGACGGACGCCGGACAAAATGTGATCAGAAAAGCTCACTTGAGCCGTTGGCTCAGGTGAGCTAAAAACTGTTTGCGAATGAATTTCATTTGACAGCTTTTAAATGTTGACAAATTACATCACTGCCCCTTCTTGTATTTGTATTTAAATTGTGTTTTTACGATCTAATTTCTCAGTTTTGTATTGCAATTCCTTTCTTTCCTTTCAAATATTAAGACGTATAAGCTTATCATAAATTATAGAGTAGAAAGCATTCTTTTTTTTAGAAAAAGAAAGTGCACACATTCGTTCATAAGAATTAAACTTTGGCAGTTTTGCCGCTGTTCATTATTTCATAAATAAATTTTGCAGATTTATCTAGATATATTTTGACATTTATTTTCATATTCTTTGTTATTTTTATAATTACTATGTATTCCAAGGAAGAAGAACTGGTAGGTTTTAAGACCTTATTTCTTATCCTTTTGATTGTCAATAAGATATGTTCAAAACAACATTTTTTGTCTGACCCATCGCTAGGCCCTTTCCCTATATTAAAGCTTTCAAGTATAAAACCAGGTTATTGAGGTAACATAAATCGATGGAGTGATGACATAGTAATTCATATACAGTACTGAACTTCTGCGAGGACAACTTCTCTTTCCTGTTTTTTTAGTTGGCTGACACAGGGCCTTGGTTTTTTTAGGTCTTATCCGAAGGACCCGCAACTTTCACTTCAGAGGCCTGAGCGCATGGCGAACGAACAGTTGCTACACATTTCATCGACTAGGTCAGTGGCGGCCGAGTTACGAACTCACGACCTCCCGATCACGGAGCCAGCACTGAGCTACCGTAAACGGTATTTGTGCATGGAAGTGGTGCATTAAGTATAACAGAGTAAAACAGGGAAACAAAACAGAAATTTTGTTAAAACAACAATATATCTTTGTCATATAGTTTTCGATTTTCGTTAAAAAAAATATTGCTTAAAAAAGTCCTAACTGTCAGAAAAAGACAAAGTTGACCACCGAAGAGGAATTATGGTAAATCTTTCGAATTTTGATGGTATAAATTTATAAGGTGTTTTAATCAGTTCTAAGGGATCGATTAATCCTCAAGAATAGTTATTGTTGAGGCACCCTTTATTCCTCTGAAGATCCAAAATGGCGTGGGTACATTTTTTTCTCAACCGTAATTCAACAAATTCACAAATTCTATCGCTCGGAAAATACGATTAGTCCTATCTATTTAACCCATTTTCACTTTTAAAGTCAAAAGAAAAAGGTAATAGAGATCTGGTATGCC